ACCGTTTTTTTATAATAAATCTTAATTGAACATTAACTTAAGCATCAAATACCATGTTTTTCGTCCGGCTGCTTTCGTTATATTTATTCATGCTTCAAATAATCTTCAAAATCCTGCAGTATCATGAAGACGCGGGTGAAGTATAGCTGTAATATTTTTATAGTCACTCTTACGGATCGTTTATTTAAAGCATCAGGTCGTCTGCTAATTACAACCTTGGTCCTGAATCTTGCCATAAAACCGAAGGTCTTAGGCACGAACAACTTGGCGGAAATTGCTCTTAAATGTTAAGTCACAACTGACGGCCGTAACCAGCAAGTCTTTGTCTATAAATAGAAGACCAAACCACCCACTACTCGCTGATTTTTTACTCTGTTCGAGTGCTATGTTAGTGTGCGATTGGATACAAATACACTAAATAAAACTTACCCTGGTAAAAAGTAACTGAGCCTGAATCACAAAAAAGTATTAATTTGGGGAGAATTGTCATACGTCATATGGAGTGAAGCTGTCACAGTCGTGATAACTGAGCTCAGTGTTTTATGAAGTTGAACAATCCAGTCCATCCATACCTTTAAGCACTGAGTGGAACATCCCGAACTACAATAGAATTACGTCATAGCCACATTAATTTCAGATATTTTGCTGCAAAGCGACAGAAATGTCTGTTGAATCGTCTTACTGACTATCAAACGGGCCTTCAAGAACGAAAAATCCCGTAAGAATAAGCATTGAGTCCATTAAGCAACGACATTGACATAGCCAAATCCACAAAATGCCTTTGTGATTTGATGTGTAGCTTGCTTTTAGAGATTTGATATTTGGAGATCCTTTGCAATATCCCAATAGGCAATACTCTCCTAAGCTGTGCCCCATGTGTATTATAATAATACGAGGTAAAGTGCACACCACACTCACAGAACTAATTCAAAATAAGGTTTTAAAAGCTGTACCAGGGATTTCACTTTTTTAAGATGCAGACCGCTTGTATTTAAAGCTTAGATGTCGTTCTCCGAAAAAATCTGACTTTTTTTCAGCAATTCGGTTTGTGCTGTGATAGAACAAGAATTGTTACAAATGTAATGATTTCATGTAGTGGATAATGAATAGGAATGCTGTGCTATAAAATATCACGCTTAGATTAAATTTAAAATGAACATTGGTAACAGAGCTTTATTTCATCCTTGCACTTAACACACACTTTCAAACTTTTTGATTATCGATTTTCCGCTCTGTTGTCTGAGAAGAAGGTTTCCAGTAGTATTTTAAATGGAAAAAAATTCTTCGCAGGCTTCGGTTTTGCTTGTAATTGTAATAGTTGCGACATCGCTTTGTTTTGCGCAGCTTTCGGCGCACGGGCATTAGCCATACGGAACCCCTGTGCTAGGTAGGCTGAACGCGATATGTCTTGTGTTAGAACCGTATGAGGGACGCTAATTTGAAAGGGTGCTTTATTTAATTATCGAACAGTAAACAATTATCTTACCTGCGGGTAACTCGGAGGTTGGATCCGAGGGTCTCTATAACACTATGTCAGCAGGTAGAACCCTAATACGCTCAGTAGGAGGAAAACAACAAAGGTAGGTTTACAAAAAGTTGCGCAAATTTGACTTTCTAAGCCTCTCGGCCAAATCTCTTTATAGAACCAGTGGATTAAATGCAGTGCTCATTGCACCATTATGACTCCAAAGGCTCGCGTAATTGCAAAGAGCATTCCACCATTTTGTCAATAATTTGTGTCGAACACCGTTCGGATATATATATATATGCATAAAAAAACAATTCACTTTGTTCTATAATTGAAGGGGCTGGTCGAAACTAAACTAATAACTACTCACAGAAAACACTGTTTCTCATTGTCTTACAACATATCCCTCGGCGCCGCAAGACTAGTCACAGTGGCTGGCCTTACATAGAATTATCACCGGTGACGAAAAGTAATGTCCCGGGTCGATAAAAGCAGAGAGGGATGGGCAGCTCCGGAAAATATGCCTAATGATATGCACTTGCTGAGAATGGAAGGCCTTATGTACTGGCAAATGCCTGTAAAAAAATAAGACAGTGAATAAGAATTTGTATATCGTTCAGACAAATTGAGCGAACGAAGCTATGTGACAAAAGGGTTCAACGAACGAAACGAAGGTATATCCTGTAAGACAGTGCCTGGCCGTACATGGAAAATATCGTCAAACCTGTGAAGTTTATCAATAAGCCAGACTTTAGAGGGGGTACCAGAGAGCAGCCTACTGCATTTACATTTTCTTATGCGGTATCTACTACTATCTTCTGCCAGTGCATCCATCGTGGCTTGTAAAAGCGCACATAATGAGCGAGAAAAACCGTGGATTGTCAAACGAATGAGAACGTAATGAGTTGGTAATATCTTTCATCAAGTAATAAGTCTGGCCATAAAATCATTTTCAAAAAACTGGGACAAAACTGAGTTCAAATTCTTTATGGAAACCGCTTGCATATTCTTTATCTTTGGCGGTCGGTTTGAAGTGTCGGTATCGCGTTATTCACGAAGGCTGATTAAATACTATACGAACCCGTTATGTTAGGATCGTACAAATAAGCATTATCCTAATTTACCGCTTATTTGTATTTTTAACCATTTTAGTTTGGTATTGAACTACACTTGTAAATCTAATTATAATAATGTCATAGTGTCTCGGTACTTGTTAAAAATAGTCCCTATTTTTCGCGTGTTTACGTCCGGTGTCGTCGGTAGACATTCGATCAGAAGGAACGAAACGTGTCTATGCCTGGATTTGAACCTCAACGTGTCCCTAGGATTAGCATGCTAATGTGTCACCTACTAAGCTATCACCGGAACAACACCCTACGGGCATGCGTCGCACTAATAGTGGTGATCATCATAGCTGACGTAAAGTGAAGGATCTATGCTGATGTTAATATGGTTGATAGTTATCGAATCAGTAAAAAGAGTAGCGATATGGGAATGTTAATCGGGTTAGTGAAACTAAATGAACCAAGTTCAAATGGACAATATTTAACGGAACGCTTTGATTCTTTACAACATAAGTGGCATGACACTCAGTCATTAGCAGTCTTGTCAATAATCACTTCATTGTTGCGCACATTTCTGTGTCTGAGCCGGAAGTTCTGAGGAGCTCCAAGTTAAGGGTCGGTGAAAAAAATTGCTAAACAAAAACTACACACACCAAATTATAGCGTCACTACTTGTGTTTCCTTTCAAGACAACAAAGAAATAAAAGATTCGAACAAGAGTCGCGATCATCAGACATAATTTGACCGCAGTTCGTTTCTTTTCCGTTTGCAAAGATGGCGCTTCTCCGGGAAGCCCCTACTTTGGCTTGATTTACTCCGGCCATGTTGGGCTCACGTTGCGCTGGGTCATAAAGGGCCTTTGAAGTCAGAAATGTAGCTGAAGAATATGTTTAATGCACACTTACCAACTATAAAGGATCACAGAGTTTAGCATGGGCCATGAAAAAATATTTTCGGAAACGTTTTGAACTTAACCGAAAAGCGCCTTGAGTTAGCTGCAAATGGCGGAATAAGTGATAAGCACAATAATTGTGCACCTTCATGCATAGAATGAGCTTAGGGAGTCTCTAAACTTCACCGTACTCATCCTAACCGATTCTCACCTTTCGTCAGCTGAAATAAATTGATTTGTTCGGACCAACCTTACTTGCTCCACCTTGCAATACACCTAATTTAAAGAACCGGCTGTAGGGTTGATGCGGGGCTTAACTCACATTGGTTTTCACCTAAACAAAGCTTAGAACCCCGTCGTTAGCACTCTATTTTTGTCCTAGATACAAATAAGCTATTGTTCAGTCGTCTTTGTTATACTCGAATAGGAATTATGTCATTTCCTGTCAGTGGTGATGATAGGTGGATCTGAAGCCCCATGGTGGTTGACTCCACCAGTGGAGAATTCTTTGCGGCAAGTGATGTCGCAGTGATTTAAGCTGTAACTCAGAACAAATACTTCCAACGGAAGACTGTTTGACGGCGAATGCCATATGTCATTTTGCTCTTACTTTCCTGAGGTCTACCACTTCACAAAGAACTTTAATGCCTGCAAACTTAAATAGTACTGAAATACTATTTTGCAATAAGTAAAAAATATAGGGCTATTTGAATACAATAATAACAAATAGTCGAGCAATACCTTGAAAGAAACTCACATTTCGTAAGAAAATTGTCTACAGGATATACAGACGCTCAAACCAGTCAAGAGAAATTTTCCGCAAAATATTTAGTCAATTAACCCTTATCAAACCAAGAAACAAATCTGCGAAAACCTTTTAGTTCTATGTCCAGTCTGTTCAAAGAGACGTACAGCGTTTTTGACTCAAATTACGAGGTGTTAATGTATTAAACCTGCACCGACGTAAGATACGAGCTCGAGCTTTACGAGTTACGGTTATTGTCTAGTGGTATGACAATTGGCATATAATGTGCTTTATTACTATAAGCGAAAAAAATAAGCTTATTTCCGTATGCAAACCACAGCCGAATATAATGGAAACCGACATCAAGCATATAAAGGCACACTATTATACTTTTTAGACAAATTTTATCTCAAGTTCAAAAGGTCAGATGCTCGAAACTCAATAAAAATTATTTTAGCAATAAAATGAAAAGGCTCCCTAACAGGAGAAATGTGAAGCTTAATATAGTGAAAAGCATTCTGTAAATATGCGGAATCTTCTGCATACTACTAAAAATTTGTACACCCTTGAATTAAGCCTGGTTCAAATCTGTACAAATTATGAGCTTATATTTTCTTATTCTTAATTTTTTAAGTCCGCAAGCATTAAATGTGTGCCAAACTTATTTTCCTATATAATGCCGGATGCTAGATTTTTCCACAAATGTATTACTGAAGGGTAACTCACCATAAATCAGGTGTTTTAAACAGTTTTAAAAACTCTTAACATTTTAAAATAAAAGTATCAAAGACTTGTTGGTATTACATATTGAAGTTCCGTTCATTCACTTACTTCTCTTTGAACATCGACACGATCTTCTTTCCTTTGTGTTTTGATGAATTTCGCTGCCAAGTTTTTTCCTGTAGTTTTTTCTACACATAAGTGTACGACGCCGAACTTGCCTCTGAAAAAGGAACAGCAATAGTAAGCGAGTATCTGTATGGTTATTATCCTTTTGCAAATTTTGCAAAACGTTTGATTTTTTTTGGATGGTTACCTTGCCTCTGACTCAAGCTCTGACTTGCCGGATAAACGTCGGAAGTTGCCGGAAAACGTTGGATCTGACGAATCTAGTCGTTACCATTCACCATGAAAAGCATTGCAATAATATTACTAAATACCAACACCGTAAAGGTGCCATCTATCTAATATATGAATCATTGTTTAGTCGACGTCGTACATTACAGCTCTATTATTACTCATGGGGTAAATGGAAACCCCCTTTGAAATAATTCTTTGGTTTTCAAGTATGCTGTACAAGTGTAAGTAGTTTAACAATGTTTATCGCCATTTTTTGGTTGACATTGTATTTTAATTTGATTATCTGATAGGCAAGTTTAAAAATACCAGCAACACACGTGATTGGGAAGTTTTTTTCAATACACTTCTAGAGAAGCACAAGTTATCGAACTTACCGACCGAAAACCTGAGCCAGGCACTAAATAAAACATGAAGGACTCCGAATAGCTTGAATTCAAAAACCTTGGCAGTGGAGTCTTCCGCTGGTGATATAAATAAGACGCTTCGATGGTTACTAGTATATATATATATACTCAAAGCTTCTATTAAGCCAAAAAAATTATATAGGCTGCAATTGTACTAGCAATCTGCATTAGAGGTTGTGTATTTTGTGTATGCAAAACAACTAACATTATTAACTCTGACTTCGCGCCTTCTATAGAAAATATGCCCTATGAGTTTTGTACATAATTTTGACATTCTGTTGACTTTTTGTCAGTGACTCAGTGTCAAAAAAAACAATGACAAAAAGTTCTTAATGGTATTTCAATTGGCTAAATGACCTCAATCTTTTTTCTTCTAAATAGATCGTCAAACTTAACGAGCTTACAGGTAGCTGAACGTAAACAAAGGCTAGTATAAATTGCAGCCACAAAAATAGTAAAACAATTATGTCAAACCTATGTGTAGATTAAATTAATCTAGTAGTGTACTCGCTAGAATCCAGTTCCTATGTTACCATGACTCCAAGGTGTTCGAAGTTTACAATAGTAATAAAGTGTTAGAGCGGTGGAATAGACTTCTTATTGAGCATATGTATATGCAGGTTATTTTATTATATAACTGGCCTATTGCTTGTTGTGAGACACAAACATTAGTCTGTTATTTACAATATGCTGAACAACTTATGAGACGTTTATCAATACTTCTGGAGCTACAGTTTCTATATATGATTGTCTGCATAAGATATTGTTTTTGGTATCATAATTTTAGTGTCTACGTATATTAAATATACGAAGAAGCAGAACCCAGGCATTTATCTATATTTATTCACGGTGTAATTAAGTCCTGATCCGCCAATTTGTCTGACCCAAGTCAACTCGTTGGATGAAATGAAAGAGCACAATTTTTTTTATGAAATACTACGTATTTATGCCTGGGAAGATTTTTTTTATATATTATATATTAGAGGCTGGCCATTGCTTTCCGCTATTAATACGAAGGCGCTGGGTATTAAATGGAATTATTATATAGATATTACGCAGCATATACAGCTGTGCCCATGTTGTAACACTGAACAGTTTTCTGACCCATTTGGAGTTGCTTACTTTGTGCTGCGTTCAAAATTGGGCTCAAAGTGGAATTTAAAATTATCTAATTACTAAATTTTTTATGTGCGGTGTGTAGCAACCTGCGCTACTGTGCCGAAACGGTCCCGGTTAAAAATTGCAGCCATTAGGGAGGATAAAGTAAACTACAGACAGGAAGTATAGGAAGCACGTGATCGAGAAGGTCCGTACAACTCACTCGACCAACAGACGAGTTTATTGATCGACGTGGATGAAAGGTGAGACAAACCGCAAAACACAAACATAGATTATTTCAATAAGAGGCAAGGAACTCCCACCCAGCGCGAGACACTTCGTGAGCAACCTGAGAACAATAGATAAATGAGTAGATCGCAGATCAGTTCGAAGTCACACCAATCATACTACAGTTTGCGACACCTGTTACCATTGCCGTTGACCGCTGGCATTATAAACTACGCACAAACGAAAACAAACTACTAATCTAACGATACGATGCATGTTGCCATCGCGGAACTAATCCTCTTCAAGCAAACAACTTTTCGATTGTACCTGATTGACATCACTGCGAAGTTGAAAAAACTACACTTAAGACGAATGGGATTCTCTGAAAGCGACAACATACAAGCGACTCGCTGACGCGTTCAACCAATGAGGACGACATAGCAAGTCTTGGCCTATACATATTAGATGATTCTGCGGGACGAATCCCGCAAGGTCGTCTAGTACGTAACTTAAAGCCTACAAAAATTCCGCGTCACTGCTCTTCACGATGACGTGAAACGCGCAGAAGCCTGAAATAGTAACTATTTTAAGTGAACAATAACAGCGTGAGAATCTACTGGATTTAGCTGACAATTTCCCTGTTAAAGAAAAACCTATTCCTGCGATGCCGGACTAACACCAGGCGGTTAAACTCTTATACCAAATGCACACACATCAAAGCGGCGTTACTCCGAGATGAAGTTTTGTTAGCCACAAAATGGACTAACAGCATGCGAATTATGGAATTACGTCACAGTGGACTGTTCCATATAATATAAAACGTGTGAAGCCATTCGACTGCCACTAGCAATAATAGAAATGTTATTACCGCTTAGGTTAATGCAGTACATCACGAAATACGTGACTAAAGAAAACGATAAAGTTGAAATCTATAGGATAGGTCGAAGATCGAACAATACCTTATGGGCAATATATAAGGCTTCGCCAAAGGTAGCAAAATATTGAATTTACAGAGCTACAAGCACCATTCGCCTGTCAAGCAACTTCATGTTTACTTAATGCAAAAGCCAGGAGCCTTTTTAAGGGAAAAACAATCCCTATACGCAAACGACAAGCACAATAAACGAACAAAGATAGGAGCATTCCTAACTCTTCGCAGTTCAGTTGATCCAGCTGAAATATAGCTGCAAGCGCAGGCACAAAGATTCTTCACCTGGACAAACAGTAAGTAAACAAAATTTACTAAGGTGTGAGAATTCTGGATTCCGATTAAACTAACGTTCTAAGGCAGTTCTACATAGCTAATTGTCGCTAAACACTAAATTTCTTTCGGCTTTAACTTTATCAAGTTCGCAATTGAAGTAATTGACGCATTGAAAACAAAAGCAGGAACTAATTTTGTTACATTCGGTAAGACCTGCATCTACAGAAAGGGCTCCATCTCAACAATAAACATTGCTAGCAAACAATGCAAAATGCCGAACGGACACAAATGGCGAAAGCAGAGCTCTGTTTCTGATCATCTTGATGAGTGGGAAAACTTATCGAGCCGCTACACATGCGGACCCTCTACAACAATGCAATCATCGATTATTACTATAAGGATAAGAAACAACGTGACTCTTCTAACCGTCGATGTCCACCACAACCAAACCTTCAAATACCCTAAGAGCAAGCTAAAGGTAAAGTTCTATGAACTAGTATTTTAAGATGCCTACTCTACAATATCGTCATGGCAATAAAGTAAATGTCAAAATTCTACCAGAACTTCCATCAAAAGGTTCTCTGGAGAGGTACGCTACGCGTTCAGTCAGATACCGAATAACGCAAACACAAAACTTCGTAAATAATCAATGAACGACGTTCTCAATTACTCTTGAAGAAACAGCTTTCAATTAGGAATTTCTACTTTGCTTTCAGTGGCGTACGAAGCTCCGGAAATTTACCCCTTCACGATAACAGCTACACGAGAAATATCGCGAATAGAAAAGCTTTGCAATGGAATACACATCTTAAGAGAACAGACAAATCTTGTTTGAGTGTTGTTTGTTGACAACTTGTTTGTGAACACATACGGTAATCTATTGTTACATGTGCAGCGGGCAAGGCGCAGGGAATAACTGGCAGTGTATGCTTGATATATAATTTCCGTAAACCCAGGTGGACGATTTACATGGCAAACTTAACGATTAGTAAAAAAGTCAGCGACGAGGTTTTCTTAGTCTACTCATCTATCCATACTGCTGAAAGTGCTGGGAAGCAGCTTTATCCTGCACAAAACACCCCATTGAAGTGACCTGATTTAGGATTGAAGACCTACATAAAAGACTGGATAACTATTGGGCTAATGTTTCTCTCCCGTGCGTAATGTTAATCCAGTGGAATATGTGCATACAACCACAGCTTACCGATGACAACGAAGCTGAGCAAAATACGTTCTTGTTGTTCTCAATTTTTTTTATGTAAACACAAGCTGTGTGACCAATTTATACGCGAGACGTCGACAAATGAACGATCTGCATGCACGAGTTGTGTCACGTGGAACTTGTGTTACGTACATAAGTCTACTTAATTTGTACTACGAAAAATTGCAACCTGCAACCAGTACTGCAACCTGAAGCCCAAAAAGTTATCGACTTTTTTTTTTACCATTTCAGTAAAGATATAAGACAAATCAAATACTATAACCGGCCAATGAGATATCTGTAGCGTGGCTGCACAATTTTTGCAACATTTCCACCATAACGGCACGTGGCAGATTAATTGAAATGGGAAGACGAAGTATATGCAACAGGGTGTCAGTCGTTTACTAAGGGGACACCTGGAATAAAAGCTTCGTTCGATTTAGGTATGGTCTCAGACCTCTGTGGCTGTTTTAACTTTGTTCTAGAAGTTATTAGGTTTTGTGTCTATCAAGAGTGTTGCTGGTCAACATTTCAGGGACAATAATTCGCAAATGGAGTAGGTAGTGTAGAATAATATATGGACTCCATACTCAGTGAGAAAAGCTTGTGCTACACATAACCAAACGAATTATATCTTATCCCGTAGCAATTTGTTTGTTATGCTACCCTGTTTCAGCATTGACATTTTGTTTAAACAACTCCTCTTTCCTATTTTCCTACGATAAAAAGCTTCTTTATAACAATTTTTTAATTATAACAAGTGACGTTAATGTCTTGTATGGGTCCTTATGCTTAAAAAAATCAGGTTGATTTCTAAATTTTCAAAGTATAACCACATCACTTGTAAAACTGACCAAGTTGAAAGTAAATTGTTATCCCGTTGTAATTATCCTATCTCATCAAACACGTTATTCTGCAGTTATTTCATAGATTTGCTCTAATATGTTTATCAGCTTTAGATTCGTGTCGCTCATGATACGTTGGTTTTTGATACATTTCTACAAGGTATTATAGGGATTTTTTTAATGTTGGCTGATTTATTCGGTTTCTAGTACTCACATGAACTGTATTGACCTTTGGCCGAACTCTAAGGGATGAACGTGAAATCGACCTTCAGCTGACCCTTGACGACCTACGTTGAGAAGTAAAGTCGGCAAACCTATTCTGTTACATCACCCTATTGTTACTTAAACAAAAGCGAAAAACCGATATATCGAAAAGGGGTTTTTTCACTTGAAAATATCAGTTTTAGATCAGAGCCCTTAAGGCATTTTCGAGCTAAAAACGAAAGCTACATATATTAAGATGTGTATTTCGATTCAACTGAACAACGTTGTTTTTTTTATCTCTAGATTTAGTTCGAGTGCCTATTAACCGCTTCCTCCTTGCACTTCGCACTTGCCACTAACCTGTTGCTATTTTGCAATTATTTTATGATCATATATTAAAAATTGCGTATTACATAAAACTTTAACATTCCATTGGTATTGAGGAATTCTGTCATTCCCGTGCATTTAATCCATCTAACCTAAATCTAGTTTTATAAACTCTTGTGGGCACTGAATTTATGAGTAACACTTAATGCATTCCATTAATTTTTTTCATTCATAAATTCAGCCTTTAACCCTACATATCTGAGTCTAGGATGGCGTATTAATAATATATAGTTAAAAATTGATGTTTCAATTCATTGACGCTGATCACCGTTTACACCGTTTATGTTGGTTTTCATAGAAAAGCATGAAAGTAGGTGAAGATGAAGACTTTGACAATCTTGGGCTATCAAAGGAAGTTGTACAGCAAATCATATATATAAATCAGTAACGAAAAATTAGTGATATTTAAAGAGAAAATTTTAAGAATATTTTTTTATTAGCTCATTAGACGTTCGATGAAAAGCTAAGCGCATAGCGGTCCCAAACACGGCCAAGACAGAAATCAGGATGATTGGCGTTGATTATGAGCAGAAAATTCAAGCGGGCAAAAGTATGCTTTTCTGCAATTACGTCATCCTCAGAAGCTAATAGTATAACACCAAGACCTCCTCACGGTTCCCGCGATAGCTTAGTGTTAGCGCTTTATGGCTCTTAATAGAAACATTTTAATCTGGGAGTCTTAATCCTTTAGTGAGTATCTGAGGAATAGGAAGAACGATAGACAGTAATCCTTATTCGGCTCTTTCAGCTTGCTTACATTGAGTCGCCTGCGCTGACAGATCCCTACGGTAATATGCAAACAGCAATACCGAAATCTGAGGCAGAAAAGAAAGCAGAAAATCAGCTATATTAAGAGAAACGAGGTCGCTATTAATGAATGAAAACCAATTAGTAGGCTCTTGTTGATGCTTGCCGTAGGAAGCGTGGTAACGGGTCACCGTTGAATTAGCGACATTCTTTTATAATGTTTCCGAAGGCAGCAATAAATGACTTTAATCGTATTGTGTTCTTTTGGTTATATACGAATCATTTTCGCATTATTAAGCATGACGCAAAGGTTACCGAGTTGCTAGGAGCTGGGACAGCAACACTGCTTTCAAAAAATTTCATGAGAGGCCCATATAAAGCCTAAATTATAGAGTCCCTTATTGAAGACCATTTTGATTAATACTCTTCGTTTACGACTGTACTAAATTACTTGTATATGAATCCTCAAATTTTGGCGAATCTTGGGACTACTGATGACCTGCACTCATGTGCCACGTTACATAGAATAAGTTGTGATAGAATGGTTTTATAAGCTATGTAGTGATGATCTCTAACCTAAACATAAATGAACAACGGATGTCGAGCGTGTGCCCAAACGTGTATTCCGTGTGAAACTTCTTAAGTTGCGTATATCGACATCTTAGACGGTCCCACCGATTCGCCATTTACCAGGCAAAGGGAATTTCCAATAGGACCCTGGAAATCTCAATAGGAAAGCTTCGCGTTATTGAACAAGTTAAAACATTAATCCGACAGGAACGATAATAAGTTCAGGGTGCTTGAGAGTGTATCGGACATGTGGACAATTGGTTGTAAGGTATTGCGTACACTAAATGTATTTCCATAAACCGAGTGAGGCATATACTTCTAAATATTATAATTTGGAAATAATGTGCAAAGAGTGTAAAGAGTCCGAAGTAATAAGATCTTCACTAACACCTTAAAGCACTTTGAATGCTATTATTGTTGCATGAGTACCGTGCTAAGATGATACTAAACTGTAAATATTTCAATGCATTCACGATTAAAAAGAGTTCCAGTAGACCGCTGATACTGCAAAAGCTACTCTCCGTTCTAACTTGTTTGAAACATCGTACGAGGCAAAATTGCACGAAACATCCTTAGCACGCAGTTGATTAATGACTTCAATCTTTATGAATGTGTAATTTATGAATAATCGTGAAGACGTAAGAAAAACGTCCAAATGTCTTTCTACGCTTTTTTCACGGAATGTGTAGTTAGTTTAAGGTAATCCTCCAGATCAACGAGCTGAACGATTACTTTAAACGTTTCTCACCTGGAGGGAAAATGCCTGAAATGTACAAATTTGTCTGTCTACAAAAGCAGTAGCTGTCCTAGTCATATAAATAAGTACTCCGCATCGTTAAATTTAATTAGTTGTGAGGTTTTGGAGCGGAGTGTGAATTATCGCGACGATATCTATCTATCTTTTTTTTCTTTTTTTATAGTTTAATAGGTAATTTCACTACCAAAGTATTTTGATTCTATCAAGAAGATAATATATGCATCGGAAAGACCAGCTAGTATTAATTCCTTGCTCCATCTTGCGAGTTCCGTGGGCATAAAAACCGAACCAATGCTGCATGAACTATTATCCTCTGTCCATACAACAAAAAAAAACTGCAGAGGTTTATTTAAAAAAACATGGACAAAGACCATATGTTTTTAAATAAACCTCTGCAATAAAAGTCAAGGCCTTCGCTTATGGAAACACTGGGTTATAACAGGCTGTCTCCAACTATATTCGGCAATCTTCTTTTTGTAAACGAGATAAATTAATTGGGACCCCACCAATTGAGGTGTAGATAATAGCGATGTTTTACAGCAAACAATGATTTTTCGTTGCTTAGTATAAATGACAGGTTAAAGCGCTGCCCTGAAGTATTTCACGAAATTAATTAAAAATAAAGAAGTTCTGTGTGATCACGCAAATGATTGTGATGCAGTTGAAATTGTTGACAGAAATTAAATGTATTACAGGGTCCGAAAAGTAATGAGAATTTGTATCCTTTTACTTTTTACTGAGCGTATTAATCAATATCAATAATGCCTTAGTTGTTTAGGTGCCAGCTATCCCCTCCAATATCATTCCCGTCAAATTCGACGCACGTGCGCCACCGTTTTTCCAATCGGTAAAATAGTTTGGAATCCGATCATAGCACTAGAACTTAGGCCTACCCTTATTTAATTGGATGTCCTTGATCTTGCAAGAAGCTTTTCCATTTACTGAGTTTTTACTGCAAAAGGCACTTAAGTAGTGATATGCGAGGCGGTACATGATCATAGTGAAAAAGTTTTGAAAAAGACTTTTTCTCGAGCTTAGGCTCGTTTTAGAAAACCTCACTATGCAAATCTCCTAAACCTTCTTGCTAATACGCCTTAATGACTGTAGAGCGCTGCAGCATAAATTCATAATGCGCAACTTCCCAATAGACGAAAAAGAAAAAGCTTGCTTCTCAATCTAGATTTTGTAGCCTTTTTTCGGCTCTACTAAGATAGCTGTTAACGGGCTTGTGCTTGCTCAAAATCCAAAATGTTCAGCGCGATGTTTTCTATAGCGTTTTGCTGAATTTTTCTCTATCTGGGAAGATCGTTGTTGAGTGTTAAACGTTGAATGCATATTTTATTACGCCCAGAAATTTTATACATTTAAGCTTATCCTAACTAAATATTTTAAGATCGATATAAGATGACATAAAACAAGGAATTGATTTGCAGAAAAAGGACTTGGAGAGCCCAAGAACTTGTAACTATCTGTAATGCTTCACAGACACGAGCAATGAAAATCGATTGTACGTTCGAACATTTGTAAGTCTTGAAACATGAACCTATTCTTAAATTAGGTACGCTTCGCATCTTTTCAAGTCATATTTTACACGTTAAAACATAGAGATGTGTTGACCAAGACAGCGTCATCAGTTAGATCGCGATCTCCTTAATTATGCGTAAGATACGAAGAAAGCGTAATGCGTAAAGATAAAGGGTAAGAGATATTTATGTGGTTTTATGAAGCCTACTTTAAACTTTATCACAACTGTGTATATAATTCAAAAGATTTTTATCTGATGTGCGGAAGATAATTATATTAACCTGCAACTACAGTACAAGGACTACTTTGGATATACATGAAGCGTACGTGTTGATGTTGTATTGCCGGAGCTGAAAACTGGTACAATGAAAATATTTTATCAACATGATGGTTAAACGGTGTACTTTGATTTATTGGTAATGATGAAGTTACGATACTCATAAACGGTGACAAATAATTTAAAAATACATGTTAACCTTAAACGTGCTTAAAAACTATAATTGAAAATTACCTTACCTCCCAAGCTCTTCGTTGAGTTTGTAGAGCGCTTTAAGGTCTTCGCCTTTCTTGATAGTAACATGTCTTCTCTCAAAATGAGCCTCGTTTCTCTCCTCCTCATCAACCTCCGAAACGAACACGGACATTCTTAATAACACCTTGACTGAGCTTTGCAAAATACCAATCTTCCTTTCTTGGTTCGGTACTTAAGTAGTTTATCTCCCGCGACTCTGAAGAACAGCGTTGAATTATTGTTGACACAGGCTAGCTATAAAACTGCATGGACACAATGCGAAAGGTTGAAGAAAATCGTTGAATCGGTAATGCTCTATGAGAAACTAAACTTGACTACCTATTTACAAATCAGATCCATTGTTAGCCACTCGAGCAACAGGAAATTCAGCTGTTCGCGAACACCATGCGGTTCAGATATTTGGGACGATACACTCTACTAAGGATAGATCGGGAGACGGTGGAGGAAAAACTTTCTGGTTGAAAAGGTTTCACTTATATCGTTTGCTCTTCAGCTGAGGGGAATCAGGTGCTCCTTAGTAAAGAACCGCAATGTTTTTATAGCTTTTTCAGCTATTCGGCAGGTCAATCCACTGTAAGAGATTCAAGGCATATGCTGCCACCTGTCTGACCGAAAACAACTTATAGCTTTCGGCCAACACGGTTAACTTGCATGTAATCGATATGAAACCGGTGGCTACAAGCAGCATCAGGTGCGTGGTATACTACTAGCATTTTAGGCAAATCAAAGCACAAGCTAGGCGTATTTCCTACTGGCCTTTTTGCTAGTTCATTCTGCATTGGTTGCACTACAGCAGTTGCAGTCGACAGCGACTAAAGTGCGAAGGCGCGCATTCTCCTGATGGGTTTATAACCCACCTCACCAACTCAACCCTGTTTAGCACAACAGTCCATTCGTTCGGTTGTTTGTTCATGGCGCTTCTTGAGGCAGTGTATCGTTGTCCCATGGCAGTCTAGCAGATAGCGGCTGCTCGCACACCAGTAGTAGCATCGGCACCAATGTAGGTTTTAAGGAGAAAAGCTGATGCTGCGCTCGCAGCTAAAGGCTTGTTATTATTGGCTTAGTGCTACAGGCTAAAACATTGCTGCCGCTAGCAGAGTTCCACTTACCAAAAGGTCTGCAAATGGATGGCCGAACTGTGTGTTCAGGCGTGCTCACCTTCCGTGAATTCTGCTGATTCTGGTTGAAATACACATTAGTTAATCAGTAGCTACTAAACTCTATTTCTTTTGCGGGTGCGCAGAGAGCTGTTATTGAGTTTCAGTTGTAGAGACCCAGCTGGATAGGCTACGCAGTTTCGTTGAGCAAACAGCAGCCACTGCCTGGGAAAGCTGACTATTTTTCTCTTTCTTATTCTTTACCGTTCTCTTTTCCTTGTACGATCTGTGCTCTCTCTCTCTCTCTGTTCATAAATGCCGCTTGAAAGCAAAGTCCTAACCCCGAACGACTAGATAAAGCCGCTCATAGTGCTGTAGATTCTAGAGCCGGATCATTCCTACCAAAGGAGGGCTCGCAAGATCTGATAGAGCTCGTCGGTTACCAACTAGTGCCGATAAGAAAGGCGGCGGAGTGTAGGTGAAATAGCGGAACTGAACAACGCGAGATAAATGATAGGAAGGAGGCAGCCCTACACTAGCTACATTGCGCCAACTCAGAGGCACCGAGCTTAAAACGATATATATATACATGTATATGTATATATAGGGTAGATACATTCTCCTTTTTTATATTGATATAGAAAAGGAGAATGTTTTGTCTATTTGCGATGCGACAGTAATTGTTACAGGGAACAGATTCTGTTGTTACCGTTAGCAATATCTAGTTTCTTAGCTGCCAATTTTAAGACTCAAGACATACATCTTTAATCGCACTCCTTGTGTGTCACGGAGGGCGGTTGATTGCGTAGGGTGGTGAAGCCTATAGAAAGACAAGATATAGCATTGTTACACAAGTTGCGGTTGCATTTATAGATCCCAGCGGCTTTTTAAATGGCTTGACTACTATTGCTTTTAACGGGCTTTCACGTTCTTTCACCGTTCAAAGATAGTCACAGAATGCACTTCTATACTCCGGAGGCCAGATCATAATTGCCAGTTGTCTAATCTGTTAGCTTGCTGCCACCGTTACTTGCAAGGTTATAATATATATAGTGTATTGAAGTGATTTTCTTTTTTATGGGAAGCCTGTAAAATTATTACGTGGCGCTGCTCGTGAACTACAAAAGACTTCGCCCCTATTTTTTGTAAAAAAGGGACGTGGAACGGAAGCGTATTTGCGTAACTGTTGACTTTAAAATGTATATACCACGAAGGTAAAAGAAAGAAGAGTGCAGAGAATTGCGGTCATTATGAAGTTCTGAACCGTTATGCCAAGCAATGTAGCAGAATACCGCTACCGAAGATAATCGAAATAAATAAACTGATTTCAGGGATGATCTAAGTCACGTCGTGGCTAAGATAAAAAGGTGAGTCATTTCCGTAATAGCTGTACAATTCACATATATATTTATGCCTTCGATTTGACAATAACTTTCGAGGCAAATATTTGAGGCGCGTCCGCTATATAAGCGTATGGTCGATCGGTCTTAATTATTGATCTATAGTTCTCACAAGTTTTACCGCTAAACTTTTCGAACGGTATATTGAGAGTAAACTTTCAGCCTACGTGGACAATAATGCTTTCGGCCCGTAGAATAAACTCGTAGTTACATAATAAGGCTCATTCGCTGTAGAGTCGAAAATGGTATCGTCTTGCTGGCATCTTCTTCTTCTTCGATTTGCTGCAACGTAGTATACTGTTAACACTACAACAGTGAACGCTAACATCGCGATAATAATGAAAGTTCTAGACTATAAAGGATTCAACATGTGCATGATGTGCAGGGTTTGCCGTCATTGTAGACTTCTTTAAAGATGAAGCACCATATTTCCTTTGCATCTAAGGTTAAGTTGCATTTCATGACATACAATTACCTGTCGACATGGCTAATTTGCACACAATACAAAAGTAACATACTTGCAAAGATTTTCCAGGAAAATATTACACAATACAATTGTTAATTTCAGAAGACTTCGTTCGGTGTCATTAGGGAATACCGTCCCTCTAAGGAGACGGACAGTCCTTCAATGATTATCCGAAGTTTTATTTATGTTTCAATCTAACTGACGTGCGTTGTCAATTTCTTGAACTCTTTTTTTGGTGGACACAATATTAAACACCGCACACTAATCATCAATCGTTTAGCGGGATACCTGTAACGGGACACCGGAGTTGGTGTTGCAGAATACCATAAGAAATGCCACAAATTGGAGTAGACCTGTAGATAAACTATAACCTTTGTCAGGTCGTTTTTAACGTAGACCCAAGTCGTGTCCATCAGAACAGGCCGATACAATAACTGTAAAATGCTACTGAGTTAAATGAGCTGGAGCACTTCTAACAAGGTAATAGTTGATGTGCATATGGTTTAGATTCAACCAGGTGTAATATCAAAGAATCAAATTAGCTAACTCAACGGCAAAGCTAGTGTGGAACGAGATTCGCGGGCCTTTTCAGTCTATACTACTAAAAAATAAATTCTGTGCTTAAGTGTTCGCTTATCCTCTTTTTATTGAGTATAGATTTATCCTGCAAAGTAGTGTTATTTTAGGAAGGTTCGTTGTTTTCTACAATATGCTTGACAATGATTGAAAACTGCTTGAAGGTTTATACGCAAAGTCGTTTGTTTTAACAAGCTCTACAAAATAAGCGCAAAATTGGGTTTGGAGAATAGTTTTCAATAGTTCATATTTTCAGTATATAGTCTAAAAATGGTGATTTTTGCCGCGACGGTCTATAATTAATTAAATATCAACTACTTTAGTTTACTTTTCAACTGTGCGAACACTTTTGGCTGAGAAAAGTTACTTTATCTTATATGGGGACGTAGTGCTTATCTGTTTAATTTGCAAAATGGTTGATGAAATACGGCCATATATGGTTCATATTTCTCGATTGGATTGATACATTTTTAAGGATCATTTCCGTTTTCTATGCAGTGTAACGCTAATTAGGGCAAGTTGACGATTTGCTTGGCAGCCGTCGAAAAATTGCGAAAGCTGTGTATCGGAAAGCTGATCGTTTTTTCAAAATTTGCGAAATAAGCTATAAATTTAATGCGGAAGTCTTGGAATAAATAAATTTATTTTACAGCATATTGACGTTACATCAGCACTTAATGGAAGTAACCGTAAGAAGCTATGGGGTCTGCGTAAGGTAAGATTTCAGAGCCGCGTTGCGTGCATGGCTGGCGATTTCCTTTACATTTACAAATGAAGTAAAATTTGCTTGGGTTTATATTGAAATTTTGAATTCGAGTTCACTTATTCCTGCAAAATCGGAACAGGCATGTCAAATGGCTGCACGTGTTACCGACACAAAATCAGAAGCTGACCCAATGAATAACGTACAATTACTGCAACCGAATAATTAACTTTTAAATTAGCATAACAGAAATACATAGTTCGAATATGCCGATGTAATACCTGCAGAATAATAATAGGATTGTCATAACATTCTAAAGGAAATGAAATGAATGCTGCTAATCAATTTATAGAACTGGAGAAATATAATTTATGTAACAATATAGCCGTGGTGTAATAACGGAACTCGTAGTAGAATTGCAGCTGGAGAACCGTAAAGACGTAGCTCTGAGATCCAACTTTAGTTTATGCTAGACCAGATGTGACGCCGCTTCAGTTAGTTCATATCAGAATGGACTGATGCGTTAGCATAAAATATTGACGGGTTAGGTGCGTAGAAGCTACTGCAACGGGAGAACTGCTGATTTGTACTCGACTAAATTTACGTTAGACTAGGTATCATATCAACGAATGAGATTAGTTGAATTAACCAATAACAAACGAACGCAGGGCAAAACCTTTGAGTTTGTCTAGTATCTAAGAAGCCTTATGTTTCCCAATAGAGGATATTAGTTTAGCTGATCATAAAGCAAAACTAGCAACTTCTTTCTCATTCTCCACATTTGAAAACAACACCGCGCAATAGTGGCCGCATTAAACGGTTATCAGCATTAGCCATGTTCATATATCATCAATAAATGTATATTTTTGTAAAAATGATGTGGCATAAACATGTATTTAAGTTATTTTATAGAAGAAGCTGCTAGGGAATAGCTGGTCACCATTCGGCGTCATTTTTATTATAAATATCCTAGCATTTTACTTTTAGATGGATGAAATACATTTTTTTTAGCGAAATAGACATTTCTTTTTTTTTTATAGCGTTTTAGCGCTTTACTAAAATTTTATGTTTTTTCAACCCAGATTAACCCCGGAAAGTACCTGGATTTTTCAGGGTCAAAAAGTTGCGTGGTAGGAGGAAATGCGTTTAAGATACCTTCTCTTCCTCATTTCGAAGAATTTGTTTTTCATTTAGAGCGTAATGTTAATCTCGGCAAGTTCGTTATTTTTTGCAATTACCGTTGAGAAAGGCTGATATTGAAAGGGTGTTTGTTTTTAAGCTTTACAAAAAGGTAACATGTGATTTTTGTTTATTTATACTCTTATTTTTCAGCAACCAAATCGTAGTTTTTGCCAAGATAGTTCGTAGTTGACGAAATATGAAGCGTTGCAGTAATTTTTTTAAACTGTGCGAATATTTTATTGAAGGGTAACTTTTTTTTCTTATAGAAGTGCGTAATGCTAGTGTGATTAATTTGCAAATTTGGTAATTTAAATTTGAACCATATA